CATGGCCAGCGGAAAAGGGCGGACACCAGCAGTAACAGACCTGGGAAACAAATGCATAGAAATGTTACACGACCAGCGGAAAAGGGCGGACACCAGCAGTGACAGACCTGGGAGAGAAATGAATAGAAATGCTACATGGGCAGTGGAAATGGGCGGACACCAGCAGTGACACAAAGGGCGGACACATCTTAAGAAAGAATTGAGAACCCCTAACAGTAAACTGCTTGGGGAATAATCCAGCATCGCCCCCGCTTTACCTCGCCACGGTCGCCGCCGGATCCCATCCGCCTCAACAGGCACAGGGTGGACTGTCAAGAGCAAATTTGAAAAAGAGCGCCAGCAGCTAGAGGCTAGAGGGCCTCGAGGGCCTAGAGGCCTAGAGGGCCTAGAGCCGTCATTTGCACATTCATCTCGTTGACGACATCCTAAGGTTTAGTGGGTCACAACATATCGTCAATATGTTTCACAAGAATAAGTGCCTTCTTCCAGAAGCTCCCGTGTTGTTCCAAAACCTACGCCCAAAACTCTTGGAAGCACTGGCGAAGGGAGGTGACCACACACAGTTCCAATGTTCCCCTGTGTTTTTCGACGCCTTGGCCCTTGTTCTGCCATTGAAAAAGACATTTGTTCAATGTGTTATCCTTTTCCATCCTTCTCCCATAGGTGCTTTACACTGTGTTTTACTGTGTGGTTTCATTTGCCTTGCCACATAAGGCTGCATTGGCTGCGGGAGACTTTGTGCCGATGCCGCGTGCACCGCTGGAGGAGTTCAGTGATTTTTTTCCGAGCTTGTTCGGCAATTCCTATCTCTTCAAAAAACAGGGTCTAAAGGTAGAAAAAAAACCGGACAAGAAAAAACATGTTTTTCTTATCTCTTCTCACTGCCAGAAGATGTTTTGCCCTTCTGCCATTTGCTCCTAGGATCTCAAATGTAAACGTTTGGCATAGCGGAAGGCAAACCCACAAACCCCTCTGATGTGCACCAGCTGCCCTCACAACAAACAAACAACCGAACCCATGAAATTATATGAAACACTTTGGCCATCGCCTCCACCCTAGTGGCCTCCACTAGAATTGTTTCTGAAATCATATCAAATCCAAAGACGGATACACTGAGTGCTTTGGAGTTACCAGTAGCACAGCATCACATGAACCCAAACCTGGGTGTGCTACACCGACAAACGAAAGAATAGCAAAAGCGCGACTCGAAGGAAATGCCGTGGAAACGCGTCTAGCTCCAGAAGGTTTGAAATCTGATCGAGTAGCCAAGAAAAGCACCAAAAGCTAAGTCAACAGCCAAATTGTAACCGGACGTCACTTGCTCATGTGCAGCCTGTCAACGTTGACGTTTCTTTCTTCTGTTGACGTGTGAGGAGCCAACCAGTTTAGAGCCCGATGAACCAAAAATGGAGGCGCTGTTCCGAGTGCAACCTGTCACTAAAGATTGCCGAAGGTATGAAACTTTAGTGACACCAACGTTTACAGCGATTTGTTTGTTTTGGATGGTTGTTGCACGTGAAACAGTTTTTTGAAGCCTACAGAGAAACAAGGTGTCAACTTTGGAGTATGTACTGTACAGATGACAGGAAGCCGAAAATCGGCATTCGCGTGCACGTGGAATCGCACACACGACAGCCTCTTGAAGCCTCAAGAGGAGAAGCCGCTGATGCACAGTTGGGTTATGAGGCCAACCTAGCAATGGCCTCCAACCAGCGATGGCCAAACCTGTGAAGACGAAAACCATTTTAGAGGGCGCAGAACAAACGAAGCAGAGCACGAACGGCGAGTTCAAGGATCCCGAGCAAGGAAGCGAAGGCGGCGCTGCCGAGTTCAAGACGAGATTTTGCCACCGATCCGATGCCACCGATTTTTTGGTCAATTGGCAACTGTCAAGGTTTCAGGAGCATCGGGGAGGAAACTCAATCCGGTTTGCACCTGGCGCATGATCACGACATCCACAACAAGATGGGATTTGGCATGATTTGGCAACGATGCCCTTTTTCCAAAGACTGCTCAAAACATGTGTGTTTCTGAGTGGTCTGAGTGTTCAGTGATGTACAGATGCGTGAACCAGAGGAAGCTCAAACTTTGGAGGTGTAACGGCAAACAGTGCTGTAGAAGAGTTTTAGAGCTAAGCACAGCGTTTCAGAGACAGTTTGTGATGTTTTTGAATGAAGAGAAAGCAAGGTGTCAACTATATCGCTACTAGGAGCAAGGACGCCACTAAGGGCTCCTGGCCTTTCTACCAATTAGTAACAAGAAGCATGTGATACATTAAATAACATCAGATTGCCCCATGATAGGCACACATGGTTGCGTTGGTGCATTTGTTTGGTGGGGGGGAGAACTGCTGATTTGCAACCCGCGGCTGTTAAAGAGCAAGTCATAAAGCCGGTGAAAACTTGATACACATGCAACAGAACATTCGACAGTCAAAAACATTTAGGTATGGAAAGGAACATTGACATTGTTTGCCCAGTCAGTTCTTTCTGCTTGAATAGAGGTTCTATTGGTAATTGAGCAGAGGCCATTGCTACTAGGTTGGAGGCCATCGCTATTAGGTTGGAGGCCATCTCAATTAAAGGCTGGAGGCCATCGCTACGAGGTTGGAGGCCATTGCTGCTAGGTTGGAGGCCATCGCTATTAGGTTTGAGGCCATCGCTATTAGGTTGGAGGCCATCCCTATTAAGTTGGAGGGGATCGCCATTAGGTTGGAGGCCATCGCGAATAGGGGTTGGAGGCCATCGCTATTAGGTTGGAGGCCATCGCTATTGGGTTGGAGGCCATCGCGAATAGGGGTTGGAGGCCATCGCGA